TTTGTTCATATTTTCTCAAAGCATAGTCCCAACATGAAGTATCCCTAGCAATGGATTCACAAAATGGCCACTATTTGGCGTACTAGCTTGTACTTTGCTTACTAGTACTTCCATTCTTTGCTGATCAAGGTATTGTTGTCAGATCTTTGAAACTGCAATGGTCTCAGTTTATATAGCCAAGTGCACAGCCCATGTAATTTCAAAACAACCAGTACACTACAGTTTGTGCATGATAGCAATCTTGGGTTTGTATTAGCAGAGGGGTATTGAGTATTGAGGTACGAGTATAGCAGTAATTCAGTATATTGGAGTACTCCTAATGATGCTGGGAGGGAGTCCATACATACATATCCATTAGTTTTGTCATACTAATTTTGCATGCACATTATTGTTAAGAACATTATGATAATAATGATGATAATATCAATAGATGAAAGAATATTACATTTTCATACTTAAAATTATTTTTTTCACTTCCCTATTTCTTATACTAGCATTAACAATGATCATACTACCTAGCTGTGTCTATATTCCCACATTTAACAATTTCAAGTTGTATTCGGCTGTGTTGGCAACCCTGTTCTTCTGCTCATTGCGCTCATCATTCTTTCTTGAGAAATGGAATGGAGTGGGGAGGATTGGAGGGTTGAGAGTATGTGAAACAGGTAAGTGAAAAAATTAATTTTGAATATGAAAATATAATTTGTTTTACATTCAACCTGTTTGTTATACTTGCAGATTCCCACGCTTTAGGTGTTGGGCCATGCCTTGTGTACAGTATACGATGTGAAAAGTCCACATTAAAATTTGCCACTCACCATTTGGTGAGTTCCTAAGACATGAAAGAGGTTTGGAAGATGTGGTGTTAAGCGTATGGAAAACCTCCTTGACTTTGAATTGGCGATTCTAATGTAGTAGACAGTAGTAGTCTTTATTGTCTGGGGGTCCTGTAGCGAGGCAGCTAGAATGAGCCAGTTGTGTAAGTATCTGAAGATGCAAAATCCCTAGCAATGAAAAGCCTCTAAAGCAGGAGCCATTATTCTCGTAAAAACTTACGGAGCTGTAGAGAGGCTGAAACAGAGAGCCCGAAACTGAAAAAAGTTGGTTCTTCTAGGGGAATCTAAGGTATTTGCATCTAATTTAATTCTCAGCACCTGGAAGTAAGCATTTAAGGTCAATGGAAACCATTCAGCCGCCCTTTCATATAGCTAACATTATTGTTCTCACTGTTTCCATACCAAATTTGGTTGTGTGTACCTACATGTTTAGGACAGAAAGATCCAATATATGTTGATAACCTCCATTTACTTTGGTTGTACAAACAGGTGGCTGTAGAACCTTGGTGTCATTGATGCAGCTTCTATTGCACCCTTTTATCTCCATAAGCTGGATTTCAGTCCAATGCCTTGCACTTTTTGTAATCTGGAGAATATGTCTCAGAAACTAGTGGCTCTGATGTGAGAGGAAGTAGGGTGGAGAAAGGAATCTTGTATTCTTCTTTGAGAACAGAAAGGACCTAGTCCTCTGTGCCTATGTTCATCCACTCTCCCTGCTATTCTGTCCGCAGTTATTCGCTGTTTCACTTGCGAAAAAAACTAACTTGTCCATAATCCTCTTAGGGGAGAGGAAGGACCTGGTCTTGACTCTGTTGTGTTGTCCTTTTCTGTGAAAACAGGGCTGGATAATGAAAGGATAAGTTAGGCCTAATGAGTGGTATAAGCACCTGAAACAAGGTATTGGAACCCAGTTCCAGCAGTAAAGTACTTGGTGTTGAATATGGCTTAACTAGAGCTCTGGCCACCACCTGCTGGAAGGAGATAGCAGCAGTCTTATATGTCATCTTGAGTGCTTCCTTTACCTTATTCTCTCCAAAGAACAAACCTTAATCTATAGATGACATCCTCAGGTCCAACTTAGTAAAAGATTTGTAAGTTGGTGGGAGATGTGATAGTATGGATTTAAGTCTCATGGCCTTTATGTTGGCTAATGTAAAGGCAATATCTATAGTCATTTCTACCATGGCCATAATTATGCTGTTAAACAACTCGTTGACATGAATGAGTGCTTGGGTAGCTGCATTCATGGGGTATAAAACCATTAGCTGAACCCTGGTGAATCTAATATAATTGACGTCCTCCTGCTGCCTGTGTTCCCCATTTGGTTCCGTTTTATACCTGTACCACAGGGAAGCATTAGGTGATATATGTTAGCATCTTGTTCAAATTCATATGAGGCCCTTTGATTTTGATATGTCCCTCATTCCATGCTCTTCCCTTAAAGAGTTTCTCAATTAAGACTTCAGGTGTTCCAGTGAAATGCATGTTCCCTATGTGACTGTGCAAAGGAGTGACTCGGTGTAAAGCATGAACTGGAAGGTAAGGAGTGGTGAAATTACTTGTGATAAATTCTTGCGAGTCGATGTTTGCCTGGTGTATCTCCTCAGGTTGTGCTGTAGTTGCACGATACATGCCTGGTGTTGCAGACTTGTATGTATCAACAGTTGACTGTGCCATAGTCATCTCTCTTCACAACTACTGTTAATGTAAAATTACTACTGAATGGGAGATTATGAATTTTTTCCTACCTGGAATGTCCAAGAACCCTGCTGTCAGAAGCTTACTTTTGTTGCAGGACAATATGGGTCTGGACCTGGTGGAAATGGGCACTAGGAATGGCTGCCGTTTGACCTGATATTCCTGTGTGCTCCATGACATGGATCTGGAACTGGTGGAAAAGGGCACTAGAAAAGCTGCATATGGCCTGACATTCCTGTGTGTTCTGTGGACTGAGGGAGGAGACTATGCTTGATATATATTTTTCCTCCCTGTGGCTGTGTGGGCTTTGATTGGTATTCATGCCCAAGATTTGAAATTTAAAAAGATATATATATTTCTTTTAACTGGAATCTCATAGCCTGGCCATCACCCTGGGCCTGAGGATAGGGAATTGGGTTTCTAGACACCTGTCTGTCCCCATCCTGGTCACATCCTGGAGGAAATCCTGGACGTACTTGATGCCAGATTTCCCCCCACCTCAGGACATGACCTCTTAGCCCTCCATGGAGTCTCCTTAAATGAAGATAGACATTTAACCATAGAGTGAGAGTCCAAAAAGGACTACTAAACCTTAGCTGTAATTGGACCTCACTTACCCCAGGCTACCCCCGCCTGATGCCAAGATTGTGAGAGGGGCTGGAACTGGACTTGACTGGAACTTAAGCTGAGAGCAAGGACTATACAGCAAAAGAGGACCATTAAGCAGCTAGATGAATCTCTTGATGCTGTGCTAACATGTCAGACACTATAACAGAGAAGGATGTATACTGTCACTGAAATTTTTTGTTCATCTCCACAGGAACCACATAGGTAGGAGGATTGAGAGATGGAGTCATCTGATCCCACTGAGCCGGGCTGAATGGTGTCATGTGAAAAGCCTAATGAAGATTTAGTTAACTTACCAAGAGACTGTGAGGCCTTCTTTTGACTTTGGAGTCTCATTTCCGTTTCAAAGCCTGCTGGTACTCGAAGGCACTATGAACCAGCTCGGAGCTCCACTCAGCACCTACTCTTAACAGTACAAATACCAATACATACATAATGAGGAGCATTGAAGGCACTATCATAAGCTCACCTGCAGCCTGGAACCATGCAGATTCTCCTGATAGCATGTGGATCAGTAGATGAAGATGATCAAAACCCGGGTGAAGTGACCATGTTGGGTTTGTCTATCACTGGCCAATCAGCCATTAAACATTCCAGGCAGCAGGAGGCTCTGTCTAAGCCTCTGCAATAATCATTTGCACATCAATATAGTTCAGCAAAGTCAAATATGACAAAATATGGGAAAACCGCTGGGCAAAAGCACTGTTACGAAAAACCACACTTTTCATTGTCTAAAGAATGAATGATGAGCGCATTGTGCAGGAGAGCAGGGTTGCCAACACCACACATAGTAGGATTGCCAACACAGTGGAATAGGACTGCAAATTGTTAAATGCGAGAATGTAGATGCATTTGGGTGGTATGATTATTGTTAATGCTAGTATAAGAAACAGGTCATATGTAAAACAATTTTTTCTTGAATATTCAGGTAACTGACTCCTTAGTGACTAAATGACACAAAACCCCTATGCAGTGCATGTATCTGGTACCATTGTGTTAAGATGATATTACTTTTTTTATTTATAGTTAAGTAAAGGAAAACCAAAGCAGAAAAGAGGAGTGCAGTAGTAATTTTAATTTTTGACTGATGGAGATAGAACTGGTCATAACCTGTAACAGATTGGAGACTTGGTCCTGCCAACAATACACCTGTTGCAAGAAGCATCAAGTTATGGCAGCAAGGTCTAAGGTAGAGTCTAGATTTTGCAACTTTACACCAAAACTGGCAATATCGGGCTTTGGTTTAGTTCTTTTGAATTACACCAGGAAGAAATGTTCTTGGTGTTGGTGTAGGAGATTGCTAATCCCACCATAAGGGTCACAAATAGATTCTGACAGGATAGAAACCTCTTTAGCAAAGTCAAGTTATGTGATGACAATATTAACCAATGTTGCCCTATATTGACTTCGGATGACATCTCTACCCAGTAGCCAGCCCTTGTTACTGCCGATATGTATAGGTGTAAGGACACATTCTTGGAGCAACAAGTGGCCACGCGGTCTGGGAGTCAAGCGGAGCAAGGAATATTAGCCTCCAGTTGGTGTCCCCTGAGCGGCCTTCAAGGGCCCAGGCCTGCTTCCCAGGGCCTGCATGGGTGATGGGGTGTTACCCACCACAGGAATTGAATGCTTTCAGCATGTGCTAAAATCAGGCCCTCCACTCTTTCTGAGCGCATTTACATATGTTTGCATGCTTTCATGTATTTGCAAAGGTTTATATGTACATTCACAAACATTAATTTGTTCATATATACACATACAAACATATATGCGTGAAGGAGGGAAAGCAGCACTGCAACATCGCGCACTCTGCAGCACGGTCCCATGCACCGCCTATGTCCAAAATAAATAATGTTACGGGATTACATACCATATTGCAAAATACGGCAGCCAGTGGGTTAATCTTATGATGACAGGGCCTGACTTATTTGTAATGTAATATCACGCAACAGTCTAGACTTCGTGACTAGGCCTAAGCTGTGTACAGCTGGCCCACCTGCTGTGTGTCATGACGTATTTACACATCATAGGCTTATACTTTAGCTATACCTGTCACTGAGGAGAACTTGTTCAACTCAAGAATGGGTGGTAAGTTAGAGAACCTGCCACCTGCATGCTGTGCCCCACATGGTTTTAGGATACTATGTCACGGGGAAACTATGTAGCGAAAGTAATGTTGCCACATTGCGGTGCAACACAGCTTCTGTTTTGCAAATGGATAAAATTTTGCAGGGACAACACGTTGAATTGCCTTTTATGTCAGTACGTTGCGGTTCAATGTCAACAGACCAGTGGGGATCACCATTACTTTGCCTATTTGCTCCAGATATTGCAAATCTACAAGGATATAAGTTTATAATTTTGCAATACGTGATTTGATCCTCTTGACAACGACTACAATTGGTCTCAGATGAGCCCAGCTGACTTCGAATGTTTACAATATGTGCGATGGGCTCTGCTGCTGAGGAAGCATGTTCCTTCATGGCTGCTAGTATCTCCTCAACCTCAGCCTTCCCAGGAACAGCAGGTTGTCTGTGGATGGGTTTTTCCACTTCACAATTTCCCATTAATGGTGTGAACCCTACCACCACAAGTTGTCATCATATCCCCAGAGAACTTTGTCGTCCTTGGGGACGTTGCCTAGAGAAAGTAGAGGAGGTTAATCGTCACTCAGTCCTTCGTACGATGAAACATCAAGCTCGGGGTAGGGTGGTCATTGAAACTCCGTAGAGTTCTCCATGTTGCATGATATATCAGTCCTTGAGTAATATTTAATAAAGCAAGATAACTAGAAATGAGACACACAGCTCAAAGGAACGCTGTTCGCAGTGTCAATGCAATGCAATGAGTAATTTGGGCAGGTAAAATCAGCGGACAACCAGGTTATGTGAGGACAACTCGCGCAACATGGTGTCTGCGACACGGTGTCCGCCTGACATTGAGTCACCCCCGTCATACAAGTACACGACCTTCCTTCCAGGTCATAGTGTCCGCACGACATGGAGATAGTGCACCCCCCACATGTCATGCAGGATTGGTGACTACTGGTTAACAGGCAAGGTGTGTTTTCCCTTTTCCATGCCCATAGCTTGTTGACACCTTCCCAGCCTGCCTAGTTTCATGGGTGGCAGGGAAATCATCCCATAAGTCTTGATAATGGATAGCTATGAATGGTTACTGGAACTTGATGAGGGATCTGGGCCTTGAGAACTGTAAGACATATGTATTTTTATGATGATTTTATCAAATATATCCCCTTCCTTCTAAAAAAAACTAGATATCTCATTGATTGTACCATCTCAGTTTGCTTTTCAAAAGAAAGACTATGGGAAACTGTATAGTTTTGTGAATAATGGTTATCATGATTTTTTTTCACATAAATTTTATAAAAGATTTTTTTTTCCATTAGTCATTCTTCGAGGATTTTATCAAATTCATGCCCTCAGTCTGTGTCATGTAAAAATGTACATACACTTTAAATAAAATGATTCACTAGAAATTGATTTTCTTTTCCTTCAAATGAATTCAAAACATTGCTAAATTACAATTTAGGATTCCCATGCAGAAGGAGGTTCAAGAAAATAAATGTGTATTCTTCATACAATCAGTATTGATTATGACTAAGAGTTATAATCAACTTCATAGCAGTTTCGTTGAATTTATCCTTTCTTGTTAAAAAATGAATGACTGGAGATTTTCCCAATTCTTTAACCCAATGTCGATGGAGAAATGTTGCATTCCCTTTGGCAATGCTTGGTTAAATGTTTCTAAACATAGATAGCTCTGCCAGTGCTGAGCCACAAAGGAGTCAATTAGTAGATCTTGCTACGTAATTTTTTTTGAAAAAGCGGAAAAAATATAATTAACAGCAGTATTAAATATTAGAGAATATAAAAAATCAAGAAAAAGGATAAACAGGTTAGACAGGTAGTTCGTGTAATTGGCTCATGGTGACAGTACTTGTGGAGCCATCTATATGTAAAAACAATTACTAAATTCAACACGCACAATGGGCAATGGCATGTACGTACATGCCATGCCTGGCGACTTGGGGTTAATAGGTTAAACCCAATCCTCTAAGAATACTTGAGGGTGGTGGCTCTAATGTTTGATCGTATGGGAAAAAAATCTTTATCTATGAATATGAAAATGTGTATATCTCAAATGAAGAAATGTTGCGTCTATGAATTTCTGAATATGAATTTAATGTAGATCAAATAGGGTAATGCTTTCTCTGTTAAGCATTTATGACTTAATATGCAATAGAACCATGAAGGAAGAAATTAAAGATTTTTTACTTGCTGGTTATTTTCCTCAAAGGCTGTTCTCCATGACTGTGGCTTGCTGCATCGTGTATGTTCACCATGACTGAGCATAAGCTGTTATATATTGGCAGGCTGATATTGGCTGTGACTGATGTCTGTGCACTAACTTGATCTTGTTTTGAAAGTTTCCGCTGGCCATAGCATAATACCACCCCTGTACCCACATTCCCCCTTGGAGGTTCTCCTCTCCCTGAGGCAGTTATACAGTGTTTCGAGCCACTTTGTTGTGAGTGGAAGGTAGTGGGTGGGGAACAGTAATTCTAGTAGTGTGGCATATTTCATACTGCCAGATCCCCATACTCATACCATCTTTATATCCCATACTGTTACATTTTTAAGTCAGCAACTGGTCTTTTCAACATTTATTCATATATTTATGTATAGATACACTTTGTATTATGAAATCAATTTTTTTATATTAGTTTATACATATTTATTTACATATTTTTGATAATTTATTCAATTTCATTTTTGTGCATAGGGCAACTATTATAACTTTTTCTCCTTGATCATACACTGTGCAGAAAATAATGATATATGACTGGTTTGTAAAATCAAGCTCTTGGAGTATCGGTAACCAAAATTTACCTTAATGAAACAAAAAGTCACTCTTTATTTGGACTTAAGGGGACAGCCAAGCTAGAAGGATTAACAATTTTTAGAGTTAAAATATCCAACTGCAACTTATATTCCTGTTATTGGATTTAAAAAGGGAGCCAAGATGTAGATAATTACAAAAATATCCTGTCTTCCCCCCCATAAAAATAAAGAAAATGTATCCAGAAAGTACTTTTAAATGGAGTATGAAGCAAAAGATGATACATCATCCTACTCAGCATTATCATACATTTACCAATTCACTGTGGGTAAAATTTTCATTAAATTTGGTGATGCTCGGGTACATTAGCACACGCTGCTACATGCCTAGCGAGTTGTCATGTTGGAATCCAAACTCATACTGTCATGGGATTTTGCCAGGATATAACAGGATGTCACTTTGGAATGGGTTAACAAAGTCTCATAGAATGCAAAATGGTTTGCTTTCAAAAATAGCTCTCTGCTTTCTGTGCTACAACTACTCATAAAGCATGTAACTGATATAGGTACTAAATGATACCCCACAAGACAAAGTGAAAGAGTTCTCTGTGTTTATACATTTGTGTGTGATTATGTGTAAGTCCGTAAAATAGATAAGGTACACAATGGAAACCTTGTGTGCCAGTTGGTTATTGTGGTACAACCAGGAGACAGCTATCAAGCTGAGCAGTGTGGCTGCACAGAGCAAGGAAGGAAAGCATATAAATTGTTAAGCCAAGTAGTGTGCCAATGTGTCAATATCAAATGCACATATTCCAGCAGATGGCAGTTCAAAATAAGTCTCCTAGCCAGGTAATTCTGTGCACAATCTTCCACCCTAACTTGAGCACTACTGACAAGTTGTGACTGGCTTGTGATTGTGGTTTCTCTACTTTTGAGGGAGGTCATTCTCATGAGCCACCAGCTAGACAACTTTGCATCTTGGCTAATAGGTGTCTGATTTACAGGATAAACATAAAATCAGCTATGGCTAATCTGTATTCCTGCATGCTGTTACTGTCCCTTCGTTTGAGCACTGCTAGCTAACTCCACTACTTTGCATGATAGTGTCTGATACCGCACACTAACCTAACTAATCATCCTCCTTGAACCTCAGTCACCTTTCAAAAGGGTGAAAGTACTTGAAAACTGAAAGACAGGAATGTTAGAAAAAAGGAATAAAGATAACCTGCCATACGATAGAAAGAAATAGTTTGGAGAATAGAAGCAGTAAACAACAACACGAGAAATCACTGAACATAAACTTGACATCCATTGATAATTCTGGTGGGCAGAAGTTGGCAGAAGAGCTAAAAATCTTTTGTAATGGAAGTGTAAACCTACTTGGAGAAAATATGATCTTCACCCATTTGCATCTTACCTATTTACAAATAGGTCACACCTGCCTCACACATTCTTACCTCATGTCATGATCCAACCGACATCCATACTCCTCATGCAATGTTCCCCTTTCAGTCCCAAATAACCTACTATCCTGCCCCCTCTTTACTGCAGCCCATACCCCTGCTTTCCCTCACTTGTCCTCTCTTCCCCAAACCCCCAACTTGTTGGATATCCTCATGGAATCCATCACCTTTTCAATTGACTTGTTCTCCTTCCTCAAACACATAGATACCCTCCATTTGATTTAATCACCCTTTGTCCTTAACCCCTTCCCTTTCTCTCAGTCCCTATCCTACCCCATTTACTGCCTACCTTTTACCCTTTTACTACCATGCTCTCTTATAGTGCTGTAGGACCATTGAAATAAAATACAATTTGTCCTAATGAAGGAACAAACACCCTCTCACCACAATACTTTACCATTGTGCTGTATGACCTTTGATATCTAGCACTTTTATTTGTTTAAACCATTAACCAACCATTCCCCAGTTGCAGAATGAAATTACTTGTTGATTCAGGCTGGCTGCAGCAATG